AACAAGAAAAGTATAGAAAAAAATTATCAGAGAGCTCCATGTTAACCTGATGCTGCCAGGGATGCCACTGCAGGCATTAGGCTTGCTTGATTAGCAATCTGTTGGGTGTGCTGCTTGTAGGCTGGACACATACGAAGGCTATGCCTCCCCTTTTGCAATAGTGTTTTCTCTTTTCCTACTTAATCGTTTTTAGCTTTTTTGCCGTTTTCCAATGTACATATTTGTCATTTGATTTGCTATATCTAGATGGTAAGAGACTGTTTTCCTTGCACTGACTCCATATCATCTCATAACTCGGTGCAAGAGTAATAGCAATAAGTAACATTTTGGTATTTGAGTCTTTTTCATTTTATTAGATTTTCTGTAATGCAACCTCCAATGCTGATCATGGCAGCCAGGAATAGGATCTTGAATGTGGAAATTCTCACAACAGCAAGTTCACGTTACCCATGCCCACAGCCAGATTTTAAGGCAAAGTTTCCCACAATGTTATGGTCATCTGGATTGTAGGGGTTAATTGTTTTTGCACATAGATGTGCCAGTCACTAGTCTGACCTATCTCAGCTTTTTACCCCTTTTTCTGGATTCTTGAAAATGTGTAAATTCATATTGCTATTAGTAATGCCAATAGCACTGTAATAATTAACTAATGATGATAAGAGCATCATTGTTAATAGCATGAGAAAGATTTTTTTTCTTGAAAACTCAAGGAAGGGGAGAATCACGTTAAGTGACTATAATTGACTCTGGTAGCTGAACACTTGTGGAGCTATATGTGGCAGACACATTTCACAAAATACAATAATGTAAACATCACATTTCCCAGAACCTAACCATTTGTAAATAATTCACAAAACAGTGTTACATAGGAAAGTAATAAGTATATAGTTTGTCACTACTGATTAGTAGCGTTGGGTAGGAAGAAGGGGGATAAAGAAAGAGGTAAAGAATATAAAGATGGAAAACATGGAGAAAGATGTCACTATGTAGTATAAATTTTTAAGGAAATATGAAGATTTTGTATACAGTGTTTAGAATTCATCCCTGCTTTAGGGAGAGAGTGATATGCATTATACATCCAAATATGTTTTCATCATATTTGTTTAGTGTACACCAGTGTCTGCTATCTTTCATTCTCGTTACAACTTACTGATAAATTTTGTCCATGCATAGATGCCACAAAGTAATATCAATGTTAAAGATATAGATACAAATTTTGCTCATTCTAACTAGTAAAAAAAATAAAAAGAGTTGAGAGTTTTTGGTGAATGTACTCATTAGCTTGGCTTGAGACTAGCATAAATATGGTAATAACTTTAAAGTTGTAAGCTCAGCAGTATTAATTGCTCATTTACACTTACTCTAGCAGAAGCATTTAAGTCATTTGGTAGAATTTACATACTTTTATTTTTGTGACTTGTTGTCCACACATATCTGTATTTGTGCTCTCATCATTATGTGCACTGTAGTTTTGATAACCCATTCTCTCCATCTCTGAAAGTCACATCTAAGTATTGAACACCTTATTTCCAAGATGCAAATGTTTAGAAGACATCCTGTGTTGAAAGCAAAGTGAGAAACGGTGAAAGAGGGCCTCTTGCCCGCTATCAAACTGTGCAACTGCATTCTTGGCAAGCTGAGTGTATGTTTGGCAAGAAACTGCATCTCGATTATCTAGTACAATAAACCCTATCTTATTTCGGGCTATCCGAGTTACCAGACACAATAAGGGCACAAGTGTTAAATATTTTCTTCTTTACATTTGAATCATGGAGATTAGATAATCTTCCATTGGTAATGAAATTGTTTGATGTCTTTTGAGGTATACATGTTTTCTTAATTTTTTTAGTTTTATTTTTCTGATTATATGTTTTTACTATTTTCATTCTTGCGATTCTGCAGAGACAAATACAGTTATATAGGTAAGGTGATGAAAATTAGAGGTTTCATATATGTATGGGGTAAAGGTTTACAAGACTTTCACACATCCATCATTAGTCACCCCCTTACACATGCATCTATCATTGGCCTCTTCTCCTTTGGCCCACCAATAAAGGCCAGTAAAACTCTACCACATGATAGAGCATATACACATCTCATATTTTATTATTACTTATAAATAAAATGTGTTTGTGTGTACATGTGTACAATATGTGAAGTGCATCATATATATTTATAAAGAGAGGGAGAGAAGGTACATGCATGTGTATATAATTCATACAGAGATAAATATCAATATGTGTCAGGTGCTGTCTGTCTGATTATCCTTGTTTGAAGGGAAAAAAGAGTGCAGCAAAGCTAGTTCTCAGTAATACTCTATTGATTACCTGTGCAAGTTTACCATCTGAACACAAAGCAATATTGCATTGACCACTTGTGCCAGTGTGTTGTGCTCTTTCAGGCGTGTAGTTTTGTGTTGCTATTAATAGGATTAATGACCAGTCCCTATGTCTCAATATATGACAGTGTAGTTCTTCATATAGGGCAATTCATACTGCACTTCTCATTAATTCTTTGTTTTTGAAGAATCTCTTTCAGGTGTGCTTACCTTTTTCATTTTAGATTTATTTTTTCCCCACTGTTATATCTTACTTTTGTCAAATAATGTACACACCTCTGATTATGATTTATTTTCCTCTCTTTTTGCAGAAGAATGAGAATGGACTGTAAAGTTTATGTGGGCAACCTAGGCAACAATGCGGCAAAGCATGAGCTGGAGTCTGCTTTCTCTAAATATGGGCCCTTAGTTAATGTATGGGTTGCCCGGAACCCTCCGGGGTTTGCCTTTGTGGAATTTGAAGACCCAAGAGATGCGGAGGATGCAGTGCGTGCCCTTGACGGAACGTGAGTGGCATTTCATTTCACTTCATTTGATCCTTCTTAGTTTAATGTTGCTTCTGCTTTTTATTTCAAAGAGTTTTGCTTGTTGTCCTGTCTTTCTTCTTTCTTTCTTTCCTTTTCTTATCTTTTCATTTTAATTTTGCATATCTGCTTTCCTTGTCTCTATTTTTCCTTTTTTCCAACTTGTATTATGCTTGTGTATTTTATTTTATTCTTTTCATGTTTATCAATTTTGTATCTTATTTACATTTGCCAGCTATACCATCTTTTTTTACTTATTTTCTTTGTAAGTTCAAGTTGGCTATAGCAGCAAGCTTCACAGTTTGTTTTTTATGCAATTAGCACAGACCGATTTCATGAGGAAGTTCAAAGTTGTGGAAAATTTATCCTCATGTGATAGCACCATGAATTTCAATGAACTTACAGTTCTCTCTTAGATGCCCAGAAGATGTATATATATATATATATATATATATATATATATATATATATATATATATATATATATATATTGCAAGGGAGTGTTACAGTATTCAAAAGTCTGGAGTTATTAAATGATGTTGGTATGCGTTAACATTATTTTATGCCTTTTCATGTAAACTTCCTATTTATATATATATAGTTCACCCAGAGAAACGCAGATGCAGTGAATTTGAGTACTGTAGTAGTCCTAAAATATAGTGTGGATACACAGAGCATAGAGTTGATCCAGTATAAGTGTGTCTGTGTCTTTGTGCTTCTTTACACATATCAAAGAAATGTTAACTGTTTCAAAACTGCCAATCATTTCCCTTTTAAGTCTAAGAGGATATACCATTAAAGAATAGTAATGGTTGTAATTCTGAGTAGTAATAAAAGTATTTCTTCATAATTATGATTAGGAGTAGGAATGGTTTTAGTTGTAAATTTGATGATAGTTGTTCCTAGATGTAATTCTTTATTTTCAAGCACTAACTTTGTCACAACAAAATATTAGCCAACTAGGCATGATATAAAGATGCGCATACTTTTCCAAACCGTTTGTGGTAACTGCATCCATGTTTTCCTTTTATTACAGGCGCCTGTGTGGTGTGCGTGTAAGAGTTGAAATGTCCACTGGCCGTTCTCGACGGGACCGATACCGCTCTCCCCCCAGAAGAGGCAGAAGATCCAGGTAAAGAACATGATCATTGGTGACTTTGTCTTCTTAGCTATGGACAGTGGCAGTCATTGAGTTAGTTCACTTACAGGGAAGATAGTAATGGGGAATTTCCTGTATCTTTTCTTTTTCTTTTTCTTTTTGTGTGTAAATATATATATATATATATATTTTTTTTTCTCTCTCTCTCTCTCTCTCTCTCTCTCTCTCCTTTCTTTTTGTGTATTATAGCCTTGAAAATTCAAAATATGCAGGTTAAAATTTCTTTTCTTTTTAGTCTTTCATTATCCAAAATATGCTTATTTTACATAGCTTCAGTTGTGGCTACTTCTGCAATAGGCGATAGGCTCCAGTTCTTGCTAATGGTGGTCAGTTGTCAACAGTATCTCGAATTTCTCTTTTTTCCCCTTTTCTCACTCTTTCTCTTTCTCTATTGCTCTGCCTATCTTTCCCCCCTTCCCTCAGTGCTTGTTTGATTTAGTTTTTTTCATGAACTTTATTTTTCATAGATTTTGTTATGCATAGTTCAGTGTGACATTATCCTCTTTTTTCTCAGTGTCACATTGTTAAATGAAAAGTTGGCAGAATTACCTTGAATACCTTCATTGATATATTGATATTTTTCTTCTGTTAAAGGCCAGACATTAAGTATGGAAGTGTAGAATCCTAGAATTAATTTCATTTCTGAAAATTAATTCTTCAAAATTTTTAAATTAATAAGAGAACAAAAAGGTCTCAAATAGGTTACTAGATGTTAACCTGATGTGAGACAATATTTGAGGTAGGTGGTAGGTTTTCTAACTACAGGTGGACAAAATTGCTTTTTCTTCTGTAGGGTTAAACTATTTCTCCAATGTTTATTTTTTTATTTATTATCATTATTATTTTTTATTTATTTATTTTTTTTTTTTTTTTAAGATCACAAATTCCTGTGTACTTGTAATATTTGCCATTTTTCTATTCAACGCTTTTAATGAGATGAGAAAAAAAAGCCTTCAAAGTCACTGTCAATGATAAATGTTATATTTATTTTTATGCCATTTGGACCTATTCCCATATATACACTAGTTACAGTGAAATTTTTCTTTTTCCTTTTTATGTTGTGTTCACCTTCAAAATGTTCTTACACTAATGGCATAGAGTCTTATTATCTATTTTAAAGTTTCATCAGAATTACTACCTTTGAACATCAGGGAATATATTTAGAATTTTTTTTGTTAATTGTGGTGTGTGGCCTATTACAGGACTATCTCGCCCAAATTACTTCTTGTTCCACCACCACCATCTACTCCTCCTACTGTTGCTACCACACCACCACCACCAACTCCACCACAACCACCACCACCACCACAAGTACTTCCACCACCACCACCACCACCACCACTGCTAGCATCAGCGTCAGCCTGCTTGTACAGTGGACTTCCAGTTTTGGGTTGTAGGGGTAGATGGGGCGCCTCATTGTGGGCGTCCCTCCCACTCATCACCTCGTACCTCACTGGGAATGCAACTTGATGTATGTCACATATTGGATCAAGTAACTTTCCTAGATGGTGAAGTATGATAGCGTTTTTATAACTCTCTTGTGCTTCATTAATCTTAGGATGGTATTGTGTACCAGTGTTGGTAGGGTGGTGGGCCCTGATCAGCCAAGGCATGGCGGCGGTGGTGGTGCGCGGCACGTTGCCTGATGGCCCTCCTACGGCGCGGCACCTCGCGGCACCCGGGCAGCCCTTATGCGCTTCACGTGTCCTCTTCTCCCCGCCCGTCTACGTCTACCCTCCGCCCACTGCCCGCCCAACGCCCGCCCGCTGCCTGCGCACCGTCAGGCCTGCCCCCCCACCCACCATCTTGGGTCTCTGACCCTCCAACGTTTGCTCCACTTTCTTACATTCATCGCGCCTCGACTCATCATAACGACTACCCTGCTGTGACGGTACACTACTCAGTATTTGACCATTTGATCAATTATCACAAACTTAAAAGTTTGTGATTAGCAGTCATGCGAAGGTATCATTCCTTTCATTAAGGATGATACCTTGTGGAGTGATTGTCTGCCTATAGAAGGTTCATTTGTTTTATTATTGCTTGGAACATCTGAATCTTAGCAGGGTATTCTCGAGTGTCACCCAGGTGGTTTGGGGGAGAGGGCTTGGACAGCTTGTGGCATCATACTCTTTACAGCTGTTCACTTATATCATGAAAGAGCATTTTCCATTCTAGTTACATATGCATATTTTTAATGGTAGTGTTAGGAAAACTAAAACCTGAATGATATACATGTGTTCATAGATATTCCTTATATATCTAACAGTTTTGATTTGATTGATATAGAGAGCCAGGAAATTGACAGTGTTTACTTCAGCCTGATTACCATAGAAGTGTGCATCACAGCAAGTACACCACTATGCCATTGCTTGAGAGGTGTAAATTGATGGATGTGAACCATTATGTATGGAAAGCAAACTGAGGTAAATACACCAATTTAACAAAGGGTTCACAGTCACAGAAGTAAGGGCTTTTTTGTATGCCTTCAAATCCATAGTTCATTGGTAGAAATTTTGGCATTCATTTGAAGATATCAATGGAAAGTGCTCTAGTAAAAAAAAAAAAAAAAAAAAAAAGTATCAAGGAGGTGGTTACTTCCAAGAACTTAAAAGATTATAGTTCCCCTCCCATAATAGCAGACAACTCACAGGCTTTTCATTACAGATCCCGCTCCCCCCGGCGGTGGGGTGGCCGATCACGGTCTAGGACCCCTAGACGAACCAGGTCCCGATCCCCAAGGTCTGTTTCGAGATCACCAAGGTCTGTGTCCTGCGGTAACATTAGTAGTAATTTTTTTGCTCCTCTATTTTGTGATTTGAGTATATAACTATATATATTGTTAGTGCATATACAACAACATTATATATTTATAATGTTTAACTGTCAGTAGACACACACACACACACACACACACACACACACACACACACACACACACACACACACACACACACACACACACACACACACTTTATTGACACACACACACACACACACACACACACACACACACACACACACACACACACACACACACTTTATACACACACACTTTATACACACACACTTTACACACACACACACACACACACACACACACACACACACACACACACACTGATTTATAGATTTATTATAGTGTTAAATCTTTTAAGATGCACTTCAGTACATTCTAGTATTACTGTCAGCACTGCAATTATATTTTGTACATATATATTTATTTATTTATTTATTTATTTATATCTATATATATACACACGTACAGATTAGTTCTTTTACTTACAAACATAGACAACATTTACTGTTTGTTGACTATTTTAGTCTATTTTGTCACATATATGTATGTATGTATAATATATATATATATATATATATATATATATATATATATATATATATATATATATATATATATATATATATGTATATATATACACACACATATATAAATAATATATATATAAATTATATATATA